CTTTAATTATTTCTCATTAATTATTATACAAAAAAATTACATTTCATCGTGAATTTATTAATTGAGTAATTGAAAATAACTGGCGAGTAATTTTTATTTAGACTATTTGAAAATTTATTAAACTCCTTATTACTTCAACCAGTCAGCAATTTGCTTATTAAAACTAGGCATAACAAAAGTAATCTATTACAGATAAAATTTTGTAAAGCAAAATAGTGTTAATGATAATATTTAGATGTTTACAGGTATTATTTTTTTTTAAATTTGGATTTGATGCTGCTGCCATCTAGTAAAAGCAAATAAAAGACTCATTCTTGATAACCTTCATACACAAAAGAAACTAAACAATAAATAAATAGAGTCAAGTAATATATTAAGTTCTTCACCTCTCAAACAAAAAATAAATATGAATACATAATTTTTTCCCTCCAAAGGTTTGGCCACAGGCCCACATCAGGCAGTTACCAATTATAAACTAATCTAAATGTAAGAAGTATTCAACACCTCATGATATTTACCTATCATTTAATAACACATTTTATAAGCAATTAATGCTCTACCCATGGAATATTAAATAATATCATTTTTTTTTTATAATTTCTATATACAGGGTGATTATAAGAAAAGTTTCACAATTCAACACATCATAATGACAAATGATATAACAAAGGAAAGTGAAACTGCACAGAGATGTTATGTGTATCATATGTCCATCAGAAGTGTCACTAAGATCTAATGTCTGATCAATCACAGCAACTATTCAAAACGAGCTCCTCCAGTATCCAGAATGTATCGCATTTTGAGATAGAGGACATTTCAGAAACAATGTACATCTCATCTGATACACTGGCCATTTCCGAGGCAATTTTATCCTTGAGGACTGGAATTGTACAAGGCTTCCCAAGGTACATGCTTGACTTTAGATACACCAACACCAGAAATTGGCTGGTGAATGAGATGGCCATTCACAAGGAAAGTGATGTGAAATTATTCTGTCATGAAAATGTTTGTGCAAGACATGTTTCAACTGGTTACCAACACGCAAAGAGACACCATCCTGCATGGAAATCACATTTAAAATGCAGGTTTTTAATCCATGTGTTGATGGTTCTCCAAAAAAGTATGGTCCAATAACAATCAGCTGTAAGGCCACATTACTCTGTCACCTTAGCATGAAGAAGGTGTGTAGGAAATGTTACATGAGGATTAAATTTTGACCATACAATGCAGTTGCATGTGTTGACACTTCCATAAAGGGTAGTATGATTTATCAGCCTATAGACTATTGGCAGGTCATTCTCCATCAATTTCTAAACTTTTCACGAATTGCAAGTGTAAATCAACCTGTCATGTAAAAGCTGTCTCCTTCAGTATTTGAACATGATGCAGCTTGTAAAGAAACATTTACAAAGTTAACCAAAAAGCCACACAAACAGATGAAATTGGAAAATCCAGACACCACAAAATAAAGGTGTACTGTTGTGTTGGCTTGTTTCGCTACAACATAGTTGACCTTAAAGACAGTTTGAGTAGGCACTGGTAGTCTGCCTGTACATGGCTTATCACAAGTGCAGCCTGGCTCCGCCAATTTTTTTAAGGACTTATGCAGAGCAACGCTGGACCAAGACCCTCTGTGGATTTTATACACTCTATGGTATTCAGTGAGAGCTG